ATTTTCTGTAACTTGAATATGTAACTTGAAATGTTATTTCCATTTAGAAATTAGTACCTATATATTATAGGATTTAACCCATTAAGGACCGCTGGTCAATTTTTCGACCAAAAAAATAGATCAACTTTGAGACCAAACTTGGACCAATACAAAATCGACCTGCCTAAACGACAAACTCAAGGATGATTTTTGGGAAGTAGGCTCCTTAAGGGCATAGTAGCTTGCCAAAAGGATTTTAAATTTAGAGAAAAAAAATTTGTCTTGGTCCTTAATGTGGCTTAAAGATACTGCAATGTATGCTTAAAAGTGTGGAATTCAGCTGGAGTCAATTCCTGGAAAATCTATTTTTTCTAAAAATTATAAACAACTATCTATCCACTTCGACAAAGCGAACGTCTCTTCCGCCAACATTGCAATTCTCAAAAAGATCAAAATGAATTACTTCAAACATAATAGAGAAGCAATTTAAAAATTATTTGTAGTATATCACTGAATTTAATCTCCAGAATTACTCGTATAATTAATGTAAGTCTATGGCTTATTTTTAAATTAGATTTATGGATTTTTGCCAGAAAGTGGTACGCATAATAGACTCTGAGATGAAAGGAATTTCAGAACTAAATATCTTAACAGATTATCTATTTAAAGTCTTTGTTTTATTTTGTATTCATAGCGGATTATGAAAAATGCTGGATTTATTCACTTGGACAGTTAAATCGACTATTCTAAAATCTTGAAAAGAAAAAAAATATATACGTTTACAGACATTTTCATTTTTGAAGAAAGATTTGAAGGGACCACGGGCCATTATCCATAAGCCATTACCTGAACGATGATCGATGGAAGACAGACACAATGCAATGTAACGCGGGATATGCTTTGACCTTTCGTAGCGTGGAGGAAACGCGAGAGATATGATGGCATGTAGAAAGAGCAACCTAATGTTTGAAGTTTGAAGAAGAATACGCATGGATCATCAATCATATATGAAAACCTCGTGAACACATTTATGGTTGTATGCACTAACGAAAGTTCACTTCATATTAGTAAAGCAGTTGCAATAATTTGCCGACAGTAATTAATGTTATGCGTTAATTGCACTTGAAAGACTCATTTGCGTCTTCGATATACTTCAGTAAACAAGGACAAATGTAAAGTTATGATACGTTCAATATATCACTGCTTATTAATAAATTCTAACAACGTTTGCTATTAATTTACCAAAGCTAAAATATTATTAATTTTTAATACATACATATAAGAATATATAAAGAATTGTTACATAAAACAATATTATTTTGAGATATAACAAAGAATAAAAAGATCTACATAAAAATAGATTAATGATACCCATGTGAAGTTGGCTCCCCAACTTTTTGAGAAAATTAATTTTCCACAGCTCATTGTTTGCACATTTATACACACTTCAAATTTTCACGTGCACATTTCTAGTAAGAAAGTTATTAAAAAAAACAATTTTGAGAGGGTTGACTTCACACTAGTCCCCAACTTCGAGCAAATTAGATCGAAAAAAGTCATAATCGATAGATTTTCGTTTGCACATTTGGAAAAAATTCGATTTTCCGTTTTACACACCCTTTAGTTAAAAAGTTATTAGCTAGATAGCGTAATTTTGCAATTTTTAACGACCTAGGGATGAATATGACTGTTTGCTCCAAGAGGGAAGTGCCTTAAGGGATGTAGCGCAAAAATTGAAAATCTGTGAATATGAAAGCGCATAAATAATAGATAAATCCAGTGTATTTGATTTTCCAAATTGGTTGTTCTTAACACGTAACTGATAGCCTACTCAGCCCCCCTCCTTACAAAAAAATTTTTTTTTAATTAATCGAAATGAGCGCAAAATTTTTTTCGGATTTCGAGGGCGCATAAATAGCGTATTATTATATAACATATTCATTAAGATTTGTTTAAGTGGAGGGGGGGCTGGCTATATAGGCACAGACGTGGGAAGTCCCTTAATGATTGTAGCTCAAAAATCGAAATTGCTTGGAAATAGTAGCGCATAAATCGAAGATATGTTTTGCATAACTAGATAGCGTAATTTTGCAATTTTTAACGACAATTTTAAACGACAAAAATTAATTCTTTCAAATGTTGGGGGTCCAACTTCACACGGGTATTAATGATACATATTTATTCTACGTTTTTCCTTTTTCTCGTGAAATTCTTATGCAGTTTTTATATGTCAAGTCTCACGGACGATAAACTGTTTTTTTTGCGTCGAGAAAATTTTATCTGTCCGGCCAAATAGAACATTCCGCAAATAGCGAGTTTGTGTTTTGTTGCACGTACTACATATCTACAGCAAGTAGATTACTGTGATGTACATTAGTTTCGCGGACTCTTGCATCTCATAGAGCAGGAAATCGTGCCTTCGTCAGCGGTCGGATTGCGACGCCTAGACAAGCCCGATCGTTTACAAAGATTGACTACTGTTGCAACATAGGGTGAAATAACATTCGACGATAACAAAAACGGACAGTGATAGATGACGCAAACGCCCGATGACGCTGTACAGTTTATCCAGTGTATTTCTTCCCGCCGACGAAATGCAAATGGCATCGATAATTAACGTGTTCATTATGCAAATTGATATTTTCAAAAACAACCAAACTGAAACGTCACGACAACGATTGTGACCAATCAGATTCCGCTTGCGTTCGGTTTTACCTGAAAAGCCATGTGTGTGTAATGATCTTTTTTTACGTAATTCTATTTTAAATGGCATCCCTATAGGCATGTGTGCGGATTGAAGTGACGGATAGAAATGTTTCGCTAACGATCAGCGAACGTGACTGCGCGAGTCTGTCTCATCTCTCTCCATCTATAGAGATTATTCGAGATTTGTCAGGGGAACTGGCGTCGATCTGTTCAGATCCACCTAATTTCCTTCGAGCTTAAATCTTCGTAGAACGGAAATAGTTTATCGCTTGGATCGTCCCGTCCGATCGCGTCTCTGCTTTCTAATTTACACGGAGACCTGTCCGATCGTTCATGGAGATTGACTACTGGCGAAATTAGAAATCGCCTCCCGTATCGCTGAACGAAAAACTTTCAATAAAAAGCCTTATGGCAATACGAAAAAAAGTCACAAAGTGTTGTATAGTAACTTGTGTCAGTTTAAAAACATTTTATACAGATATGTGGACCTTTTAATTAAAATAAAATGCGAAAATGATTCAAATGCCTGCGCGCGCACATTAATTCAAGTTAATCGAGTATGCTCAGTATTAAACGTTTAGTGTATCGATTCTGGCAGTCCTCACTAATTTCCTTGGTGCCTTTACAAGGGCACGGCAGAAGGGGAAGAATTTGTCGGTCGCGGAGCGCTTACGTAAATTACCAGGGAGTACTCGCGAGAGAATATTCTCCGTGTCAAGGCGCTTTAGCCCACCATTAGGCTGTTAATGTCCGTGACACGCGCAGAATTAGCACCCCAATGGCGAATTATGCAGGATTTATAACGGAAGTGGTATAATGGAAGTCAGGCCAGGCTGTTTGCTATTACGAAGTAACGTTACTATGAAAAATGTGACGTTACGAAGATACTAGAATGAAATAATACTGATTGTTTTTGCAAAATACATAATACCCAGCTGTAAAATAATAATTAAAGGCTCTACTAATTACACGTTTAATCCTTCTGTCAATGCATAATTTTTCATCTTTTCACTACTGTATTTCACAAGGATCCCATTAAAACTGTAAAAGTGAAAACGGGACGAAATTTATGCAAAACTATTCTCTATTGTTCAAAGAGTGGAGCGTTTTGAAGCGTCACAACAAAAATATACAAATTTTTACCATCTAGAATATACAGGTGCCCACGTATCCATTCACAGACGGTAGAGTTCATGCAGAAATCGCCGTAAAACTTGATTTCCATCATTTTGCACAAATGTTAGAGAAATCAACGAATAGCCTGTATTGCAGCAATTGGAGGCGCAGATCGGCACGATCGATGAAAACACAATTACGAGATTACAGGAGAAGGAGAGGTCGAATTCATTCGCGGTTTCCTCAATCTTTCCCTACCTCGTGATGTGATTTCCTTTCAATTATGTTTCGAGCGCTTAGCATAATTATTTAGAATAGGATTTCGGAAAAACAGCTAGAGGAGATAGCGAACGTTGAAAGCATGCAGCACGTGTAAAAAAATGATAATAAATGATTCGAATTGACGAGGGCACTCGATCGTAGTAAATAAATCGAGCAATTTCCGGAAAATCCCCTTCGTGAGAGTCCTCACGTGCGCACCTGCGGCCAACTTCAGTCCGCCTGTCAGTCGCTCCCCGTAGGCTATAACTATTAAATCAAAGAATTAATTATAACCCTAATCTCATTTCGTAAATAGGTTTGGGCGCGTTGCCAAATTGCTTAATCAATTGCTTCTAGCGGCAAGTAATAATTATATAACATCATAATTATATAACACAAAGTCATGTCAGTGAATCAAAGCGTGCCAGACAGATTGGCATGCTCTAAAGAAAAATGTTTCTATAATTATATTATATATAGTACATCATACGATTAAAACAGATGAAGAGAGTTTTTTACTAAAAGCTAACTATTGCACAAAATCTGACAGACTTCGTATTTTTATGCCGTATCATTTAGAGATTTTTTCATACTATATTAAATTTTCATATTTTTAAAAGCAGCTTTTTTAAATAATAAAAATAAATACACATATGTTTACAATTTTATACTCAAACGTAATTAATGCCTTTTCGAAAGAATTTATTAAATAAAACTACATTAGAATAATAGTTTTAATCAGGTACACTTACGGTGTACAAATTATTTATAACTACCAAAGTAGATGCGATAATTTAGATGAAATAATCTTTCAGCGATCTCTTTAAGTCTAAAAATATCTTAAAAAAAAAAAAACTTTTTTACTACGACATACGAAGTAGAAGTAAATTTGTGGTTCTGACGACAACCTTAACGTTTTCCATTAATATTTGTTTCAGATGGAGGTGTGGTGGGTGGTTCGAGAGCAGGACCAGTGGTGACTCCACATACGCTGGAACTGACACTACGTGGTAGGGTTTTGCTGCAGCTCGCACCGCCGGAAACTGCTCGAGCGTACCTGCCACCAGAGTATCGACCCGGCCGCGTATATTCGGACACGGATTCGGAAAAAGTACGTCATATTCAGCACGGTACTTAATGACGCGTCATTAATCCAATAACGGATTGCACTCTGACCCCGATCGCGACGTCCGTCACTCGAAAGACTTTAAAATGGGTATTCCCATATGTTTGGTACACACCTGCTTCTCTATCACGTGATTGCAGCTTAGATTTTTTAACGGTGTACTTCAAGATTAATTTCCTTCGCATCTTCCACAAATTCTCTCTCTTTTTGATCGATCTACTTACGAAGCCTATTATTGCCCTTTATGAAATGTTTGGACGAGTTTCCGAATGTTCAATCACATAATGCGATATTATACTGGCGTGAGTAAACATTCGAAACAGAGTCGAGTGATTTGGGCGTTGTGAAACAGATGAGGATCAAGAAACGGCGTAATAAATAAAACGTGTTTATTAGGAACATTTACATTTCTCCAATCATTCAATTACACATACGCGTAAATATAAATGATGGTAGTATTTACGGAAGGGCGAGGCCGATGGCACATAATTGAAAGAGTATCGTGGATGGAGAATTATTAACGCGTCCTATTAAAATCCTTTCAGCATGAAGAGGATTAAGCCGCCGTAGCCGTCCTTTGACGGCTCGACGACTTTTTATTTGCTCGACTTCCGCCGTTTCAGTGCAGGGTGAATTTTTAACGAATCCACCACCGCCTCGTGGCTAACCGTTTCGAAGAACTCGAAGAACGAAGAGAGATACAACAAAGGCTGAAGCCGATTTTTGTGTTCAGCAAAATCCTAGCGCCCATTCTATGGTCTCTCTCGCATTCTTTTTTTTCCGGCACGTCCGTCGGATTTTCTCGCTCTCTCGTTCACCCTCCATCCCTCAACGGTGATCCCCTTCGCTCTCCTTTAGCGCTATCCTTTCTTCTCTTGATGACCGGACGGAGTCCCGTTTCAACTGCGCGTACAGACCGGTGTTTATCTCCTGCAGATTAAAGGAAGAACAAACGACGCGTACGATAAATAAACTTTGGCGTATCGTTCTTTTATATCGTCAATTCCGAAAGCTCTATCTCACTCTCGCTCCTAACGAAGAGATAAGACCTCGCGGAAAGCACGTAATCTTGATTACCCTGCTGCATTCGTATCGCTCGTTAAACATGCAAAAAGACACGCGTTTATACGTTATTTACGCGAAAAATGTAACTATTGAAATAGAAATAAAACTCGTGATGTTTATGAGATAGTAAATATAATGTTTATACAGAATTATACGACGGAAGTGAATAAAACCAGTGAGGAAAGAACAAAAGATAGGAAATATGATTTTACGATTCAATATTCTACAGTTTGAAATATCCGTCGTGAAAAATCGTGAAAAACTTAGATAGCTTCCATTTTATAAGCACACCAATGTGTACATTTATCGATGTCCAAAAAGAAATAGCACGATAGTTTATTGACGAAAGATATAATGTGAACAAAACTAAAAGTGGAGAGAAGCAATTCAACATACTGAAAGAATTCTTAACTTTTGCGTTTTATATATTTTATTACTCTAAAATCTCCATGAGATTCGAAAGTAGAAGTAAGAAAATATTCTCGAAGTTGGACAATGAGTATTTCTCCTTCCATGCGAAATTACGATACGGACCAATATTAATTATCTCGATAGCGCGATATCGATTAAATGCAAAATACGGAGTTCTTTCAATAAAACTCGTTAGAATATAATATTTCAATCTGTTTTCTCTCTGTCACATAAACCAGCATCAAGATGCAATATTCAGTTTCAATCAAATAAAGTACTGATGTATTTCCATCAACGATACTTTGAAACGTATCAAAAAATAAATTTCGATTTGTAGCAACAGGATTTTAACGAAGGAGGAAAATTGCTTCACTGCACACAGCAAAAAGTATGATAATTTTTACTCCTACGTCGGAAATAATTACCACTTTATCAGTAATTTAGTAGAGACGACCGTTTTGTTCGGGACAATCGCAATGAGAAAGTACGAAAGAGTCGTAATAAGAAAGTACGAAAGAGTCGTTCTTTTTACAATCTATTTTTTTAATATTACATGGAAAAAAGTAATAGTGATTCATTAACTTTTCTGTAATCTGTTTCAATTCTACGATTTTTAATTATGCATTTGAACTTGAAAGAGAACGATATTTTATAGTTTACACTGCAATGTGAAATAATAAAAAACTTAGAGAGAATCATAATTAAAGATAATTATATTACATAATTTAATTGCATGGAATTAAACATATATATTCTCACGTTTTGTGTAACTTTTTATCTTCCACAAAGCACTAACATGCGTAAAGTGTCAAAAAAATATTTCAATCAAAATTTGTCGAAGAATTAACCTTTAAAACGATTTTTCGCTTCAGTTATAAATACTTTTGATCTGAAACATCCTAAATTCATCACTGATAACAGAGTTCTATGCACTTCTTGGCATTTACGTCACGATTCTACTTTTCCGGAAAGCATGACGTCCCACCGGTGGTGGCTGCAGCATCATGGTACACAACGACGATTACCTGGGCGACATAAAGCCAGCACGAAAAAGCACTCGACTTTTCGGCGATTGTCGCTCTTACATTTTTCACCGCGTGACACAATGCACAAGCGAGCTGTTAGAATGATCTCTGTGACATGGTGAGAGTAGCGCACAGGTGCTATAACTTTATGTGCTATAACATCGTTCCTTTCCTTCCGTGTAAATAAATGAGAAAGCTCGAAGCCAATGTAGAAATTCATAAAAGAGTTCATAAAGATCTTGCTTTTCTGACGTTTAATTATAAATGCTGACAAATAACCTTGCGCTGCTAAATAAAATAAAATAGCAAAAAGTAATTAAAAGGGAGAAAAATGAGAGAAAAATGTCAGGTTATAAGGAATTATTTATATCGACTACTATTATTATCGCTTATTATTTTTTTCAAGCATTCAATGTGGAAGGTATCGAATAATATCGATGCTTATTTTTCAAGCATCGAAGATGCGAAGTCTGCATAGTCGATATTTTCTACTACTATCGATGAAAATATTGGACGACATTGTTTTTTCAACAAATAAAAATGTCGATAACTAATACTTTCTCGAATCTACAAAATCCTTCTAGACGTGTTTAGATGCGCATGTGTATACATGTTCTCTGGCGGAAATAAGAAAAATCCGATTATTGCATCCCCTTTAGATAGAAACAGACTCAGCTTTCAAGATTGATGTATACTTCTCAACAGACAGAGTTTACCCGATACAAAAATTGTTCCTGAGAGGTGCTGTAGCTCTTTTTTAGATAATACAGCTTTTTTATTTATTAATCTAATGCTAAACATCACTCATGATGAGAAACATCTCAAAATTTATCGCAAGCTCAACAGAAATAATATTTCTTTTTATACGCCTAACTAGTCATTCTTTTTATTACAAATTAAATGATATAATCTTTCGTACGCGCATAATAATAAAATGCATAGCAAGTTTAAAATTTAGTAGGAATATGTCTAAGTATTTAACATTGCTAATTATACAGGATGTCCCAGATTTATCACATCAGTTATTATAGAACATCAGTTAATAGTAGATTTCTGAGAGCATTTTGAAACGAAAATTCTAACATTAAAATGTCGAGGTTACAATAGTTTTTAAATGAGAAAAGTTCAACTAATTAAACTGTCCAGAATTTGTGCGTTCAAGTATAACACATCGCGTAATAATGAAAGATATGCAAAATTATATTGTATTAATATAAAAAATAAAATTCTTTAAAAACACCTTCACTGTTATACTATATCTAAGCGCGCAAATTCAGGATAGTGATCAGTGAATTTTAAGTAATTTTTCTTTTCATTTAAAAACTGTTACAGCTAACACACACATTTAAGCATTAAGATTTTCATCTTGAAATGATATCAAAAATTTATACCATTAAGTGTTATAGTAAATCTGGGACAAAAGAGAATTTGTGTAAATAGCTTGTAATATAATGAAAATCCTAAATACAATTGCGCTGATATTATTTAATTGCTATTATTGCATTTTTAGATCAAGGTTTAATGTACTTTTATAATTAATCACATTTAATGTTTAATGTGTTTAATAAAGATTAATCTCATTTTCATTTCAGATGTGGATGTATTCTTTAGGTAGGGCATTATTGGACACGACTCCCAGAGCAACGGCGTTAACGGGGACCGTTTCCGTTTCACCCTCTTCCGCTTTGCAATCAGTGTTGGCTGCCATGACGGAGCCTGATCCTCGTAGACGTGCCTCCTTGATGAATTTACTCGACGTAAGTTCTTAAATTTTAATGAAATTCTTCCAGAATGTCCTCCATCCTAAGAGTCTCTTTTCCTCGTTGTACTTCCATCAATTTCCATCAATCTTCTCAAGATTTACCATATGTAATATAATGCATTATATAATATGTATAAACATATTTATTTAATGCGTTTTTTCTCGTACTTTTCAAAAGACTGTCGCATGTTTCATTCATCATCAGGACAACACTCATATGCGCACACATGTAAGCTTCGCGTTACATAACTGGCGAACATTGTGCGAAGCGTACAATCTGCTAATAAAAGGCCGAGACTTTTTTGCCGATTTTGCCACGGGGTACGGACAGATAGCTCAAAATTCCAAAGTTCATTGTGTGCTATCGTCGGTTCGAAATAAATCAGCCGGTATCGTTTAAAGTGACTCTTCAGCGTTCGATATTTTAGCCTGCGCTCCTCTGCTGTGCAACAACGCATCATTTTCCATACGTATCTATCGCAAAACAGTTTTCGGTTCAAGTTTCATCATTCAGTTAGTAGTTGTCCGATATGTCTGCAGACAGATAAACATATGTTTATCATTGATGCCGACGATATTCAACGATAATGTATATTTTAATCTTTCTTGTTTATATTATATTTACGATTCAATTTGATATATCCTGTTATTTTTTCCTGTTATATTTTATTTCATGGATAAAACCAGGTGTTATAATTGCGATATATCTTATAATCGCAGAAAATACATTCCAAAAATAATATTATACTCGTATAATAACATACTTTAAATAATCGATGTATGATTCTATATTGCTGTATTAAATTAAATGTTTTAACCTTTAAACACTTTTTTAATATGGTACATCCGGTTTTTTTCTAATGCTTTTCCAATACTTTTCCTATTGCTTATAACTGTTTTATTAATAAAGATACATATATGTGCTTATAGTATCGCTATATGTTTTTCAAAAAATGTCTCGCGTTTTGATTTGAAAAATGTTTTTACAATATGCGCATTTTTATGAAAGTTACAAATCGAATTGGATTGTATATGCCATACAACAGTGTATTGTCCCCATTTGTTGTGGCGTTTAAGAATTAATGAGTACACATCAAAGAAATTGTCATTGTAGACAACTATGATCACGGATCACAAATACATTCAACGTGTTTCACCGCAACTTGAATTTTGATAATCCGCGAATTAACAATATTTAATCCCAAGCAATATTGCAGTACATGACGAAATTAATTTCCACATCAGTATGAATGGTGAGTAATTCGACGTCGCGAATGTATTCATATGAGGAGCTACGTCGGACTATAGAATTAGGTACAAACATATGAGGAATGCGTAGCGCGTATCAAGAAAGACCAGGTCGTCTCTATGATGAGAATAATAAAGCAATTTGTCGCTAATAACACGCGACATTACGTGACGATGAAATTTTGAGATGCAACGTATCAGAGAAACTTGATCTTTAGCTTGTAACTGCGCGGACTAGATATTATATTATAGTAAACGTGTACACGTGTCTAATCTTCATGTGTAGAGTCCATGTATCTGATCATAGACATGCATCTATTATGTAGATCGTAATTACAAGAGTCAGGTATTTTATGTAGTGTTCTACATAAAATATGCCTGACTCTTGCAATGGAAATCATGAGAAAAATGCATAGGAATAATGTTTCATTCCTATGAATTTTTCTCATGACTTCCGTTTTATACTATGATCATCTAAATTACGATTCACAGAAAACAAAGAACAGATATTGTATAACAATAAGTAATATCATCGTTAGAAATGTAAAAATAGTGTATTGAGTATTACACGTATTTTCCGTTTAAACAGCAAAGCTATCGCGTAAGTATATTTTTCTTTATCGCCTAATGAACTGTTAGAAATTCACACACACACACACACACAATTCGATAAAAAAATCGAATCGAATAATCAATTTTATTAAAACAAATTTGCTTTTTCGCGATAAGTATATTAAAAAGAGAATTTAGTTATACTTAGTTTATGTCTAACTTTGATAATATTCATGTAGGATTAATCGATAGACCACATAGACTTAATCATAGCCACACGACACCATGCGGCCCTTGAGTATCCGCCGTCGGCTTGCATGAAAGCTCGCTTTAATTGAATCACCTATCACGGACAGAGCGAGCAGGCTGCACGTGCAGCATTTGTACGTCGAGACGACATCCGAGGTACAAGCAGGCAGCGATGATTTGCGTGACAAGGAATAGTGACGTGAGATGTCGCATTGCAATAATGAATATACGTGTCTCTAAGTGAAACCCGAAGAATGAGCGAGTCAGAAATAATATTTACTATCTGATTGAATACCACATTGTGAAATTTAATTAACTATACGAAGCAAAAGAGAACTGTTCATAATTATGTATCGAGATTACGCCGAGATAGTTAACGTGTGCTTAATTTATAATAGGTAGTAGCTCAATTATAACTGTTGCAAGTTTAATATTATTTAAAACTTTGTTTTAATAAAATATTAATTTAAGACTCCTTCAAGATATTTAATGCCGTCAATTACAAAGTTGTGTAAATCGAGTTTAATTAAATTCCATTACGTTCTCTTCTTTTCAAGGAATAAGAAACTCTTAATTTGAAAAAAAATGTATCATAAGGAAAAAACGTAGAACAGTATGTCTCAAAATATCTTATTATTATACACACATATACATATATAGTTTATATATATATATATATATTATATATATATATTATATATATATACATATGATATGTAAGTCTTAATACAAACTGAAAGCCAATTGATTGAATGGATATACTTCGCTCCCAACAATTGCCAACCGCATATAATAGATCGATGAGTTGTGGTACAACACATTCAAAGTATGTCACGTAGAAAAGATAATGAAAATGATGTATGTGATGGAAAATATTTTACATTGTTGTAAAAAATGTGTCATTTAATTTACAATCGCACGCTCCACGTATGACATTTCAAAAAAATATATACATACATTCTCTTTATAATATTAATTTAGAAATAATATATACTTATCTCTTTATAATATTAATTTATAACCTAATGGTATTTCCAACTGTTGGTTATGTGTTCATTATAATTTAATTATTTGAGTAAATAAATTTTGTATACAATGCGGGGGATTGTGTATAGAATATAAATACGTTATTATAGGTGCAATATATTGCATCGAATTAATTTCTGCTGACTGTCGGTATACTCTACTCATGTAATAAACAAAATAAGATTAATATTAATTGCAACTCCCGTTTCTCTTATTCACATTTAAAATTAAAATGTATTTTCCAGGTGCGATGTCGACATAAAAATTTTCCATTACGCAGTTTTATTGTTAACGCCGAGAGGATTTAACGAGGGGAAATAATGCATACGGACGATTTCTACCTATTCATCATCGGATTTTCAACGACATTATACAGATGCAAATGGCAAGATGAAATTTAATCGTGGGCGATGGACTCGCGCGACACCCCCGCATATGATTAAATTATTTTGATCAGACAGCAAACAGACGGGCGATGCAGATTTCTCCTACGTGTAAATATTAGGGCGAACAGATAGTATGACAGAGGATGCGGTTGCACGTTGCAACATTACGAGAACGCGTCACATATTTTCGTTCACAAACATGCAAACGTATCACGCGCGATCCTTTCGAAATGTTTCAATTATTATAATCTTGGAACACGTATAAACCTGAGGGGTAAAAGGAAAAGAACCAATTTCGTTTTTTCCTTACTTTTTTATAGAAAACTTGGCACAAGAAAGGAAAGAAAATTTCTCATCTTTAATTTGTAAATGAAACTTTCGTGCGAGAATGACCGTAATATTGTTCGACTTTTAACACATCGATATCAGAAATTAATTAAAAAATATACGCTCAGATTTTATAATAGGCTCAAGTGAATATAACGGTGTGTCGAATTAAAACGAAGATAAAACGAGATCCATCGTATAATAGAGCTACCGATAAATTTGTGAGAGCCAAATGGCGGATTCAAATCTCGTTCTTAAGAGATTATTTCATGCAAGAAGGGGACACATAATTAGATGACCGAGACATTGCAAGAAATAAAATTCGTAAACCGGTTCGCATACATCCTGTGGATCTTTCAAGGGTTTAACGTGCCTCGAATGGCACGACGAGCGGTCTGGAACGCGAAATTGCATACGAGGGTGGTGGGCTACATACATATATGTACCTACGATAATTTCACCGAGCTTGATGATTAACGGGTGGCAATCTCAAAAACGCGGCGACCGTTATCGCGCGCGAAGCGCTTCGAAGGACGAAGCGACCGTAATAAGTCGTCCATCTCGGACCGCGATAATTCTGCAAGTGCACCCCCGATAATCCCCGAAATTGATGAAATCAACTGGCGGGGAGGCGGAAAGACGAGGGCACACGGCATGCGGCGTAATACGGAACCATAGTTTCTACGAGGAATCCTCGGCGGCCAATAAATTATCCGCTCGAGTACCTACTTTACTCGGTTGTATCTATCAGCGCGGATAAAGCAAGTTTGTGGCTGAACACAATGGGGTTAAGACGAGTGCCTATCTGACTTCGCAGAAAACGGTGGATGCCAATCATGGCACGAATTGATAGTCAGCGGTGCACTATTTGCCGTTATTTGTTAAAAATAATCTACTATACGTCTATTACTCTTCCCGCACATTTTCGCTTATTTTTTGATGTCCCAGAAAATGTAACGAAACGGCACATCAATTTCAGGTCTCTGTCCACTGTCCTCATGCGTGAAAAATTTTCTATTGTACCTGAATAAGAGATCATCTTGATTCTATTAGTTTCAGAATATTTCCGCATTAAATTTTCTGACTAATTAATATATTCGTCTGAATTCCATTCTTAACTAAAAATTTTTATCACCAATTCATTATTTTTATCACCAACATTACATTTGATACTAAAAAAACTGACTTCTCATTTATTAAACAATGTGTAGAAGTAATTTCTTTATCGTTTTTTTAAACTTATTAAAAGTCTTCGTTCTCATTTATTAAAATTCTTCACAATTCTTCTCATAAACCAATTCTCATAAATTTAATAAAATTATCTATTTTACAATAAAAGCGTAAGAAGAAACACTTGAGCAATGAAAAACTACGAACGCGTATAATATATCATCCAATTGAAACTCATTACAACTATCCCAACTGATTAGAACTCTAATCGATTTTGAGTAACAAAACTGAAAGCTAGCATCACGATGAATAAAAAGCAACATTCTAATTAATAGCACACAGATAACGTTTTTAACAATAATAGTTTCATAAAATCTGAAAAAAGAATTATCTTACATGTAATACTTAAAATCTTTGTCTATACGTTTGCATTCATCATCATAGAGAACACAATGACGCGTTAATAGATATTAGCACTTCTCTCTCAGGATCTTAGCTTAGCAGAATCTATAGAATTACGACAACAACTATTGTCTTCTTAAGCTAATAGTTCGTCTACTGCGCGACGCGAAAGTTTCGAAACTAGATAATCGGCGCGCTGGGTAGCACGATAAACGCATCTGCACGATCACATTATGTCTACGATGATTACTACGAACTTTCAGATTTGCATGAACGTTTATCTAATATATATATATATTACGCTAATTAAGTAATTCTAAATTTAACGTTACAACACAATACTAATTATGCTAATTATTGACATAAAAAAGTTTGCGTATTACACATCTTTAATTTTGTATTTTTCAGAAACTCTCTAATTAAGAAAGATATTATGTTTTTCATAATACTAATCTATTGGATTACAACTCTCTTCTCTCTCTTTCTTTCTCTCACACAATTTTCGTTTTTATCGCGAATTATTTCTTGTTTCCTATATTAGACTCACAATAAGTAAAAGCCATTCACGCCATTAATAGACTTAACAATACTGCAATATCATGTTCTTACTTTGCAGGTAATATCCGAATATTGTCGGACACGTCTACAAGCGAGGCCCTTCACTCACATAGTGATGGAGATGTATCGAGAGGTTGTGAGATCGCCGCAATACACCGCGCGGAAACGAGCAATGCAGCTGAATGCCCTGTGTCCTACACGGAACATGGTTGAACAATTGAACCAACAGAAAATCTACGGGCATCATCATCATCATCCGCAACAGCAGCAGCAAGACTACGCCCAAGTTGTGAATGGTCAACCGCCATCTATTCAACATCAGACTCGTGTTGGGCAATATTTGTCGAATCAATTAGCCGTTCAGCAACGGCAGCAACAACAACACGATCAACGTCAGGCTAATCAATTTCGCTCGCTTCATCAGCAACAGGATTATGCACAGCAGCCACCAAAGGGTCAGCAGGATCATCGTAGTCATCATTACAATCACCAGCACGCGAAAGGGACGCATTTCAGGACACAATCGCGCAATTCCCAGTCACATCCCAATTTGACGAGCTTGTGCGATTCACAGCAGCAGCAGCAGCAGCAACAACAACAGCAACAACAACAGCAGCAGCAGCAGCAACAGCCATATCGGGATACTGCCCTCAGCAGTTACAGAGCGCACTTTCAATCGCAGTTGGATATCCAAAGCGGCAGCCGATCGATAGGACCAGCGACAACACGTCGGGTGCATCATCACTCGAGGACATACTCGCAGCCGGTTTATACGCGACTTCAACATACCAGGAGCAGTGGCAATCTGCCGACGACGACGAGCGCGATGGTCGACGGTAATCCCGACGGGAATGTTTACAACGACCCGATATACGCCCTGCCGGTTAAACCCTTCCTGAGCTCCCAGGATGTGCGAGTCAATGGATTGTCTGCGAAACCTCCTGCGATCTGTCATGGAGACGAGGTTTATGGTAGATCATCATCGATAAACAGGTACGCGCTGGATACCATTCGCGTACTTTAGAAAAATCAATCGATATCATTTGTTAATTTTATTTCTCACTAATTTATACAATCTATACCTACATTTATTATAATTGTTCAAGTCACGAATGTTAAATTCGTGATTTTGAGATGAAGCAATTTAATTTAATTTATTTTCATCATAAACGTTGAATCATGAAAATAGAGACAGAGATAGTCAATAGATTCTATATAATAGTTTTTCATTACAAATCAATTAATTTTGAATAAGTTTTCAGAAATGTTACGTTTGAACACAGATGTTTTCACGGCTTTAAATCCAGCTCAAACTCAAGAAAACAATTATAATCATTTCTAGTTTTAAATAATTTCATTAAAAAATAAAAATGATATAGTTTCTTTATATTTAAACCTTTGGCTATTATACGCCATTATAGTGACTTTTTGCTAACTCATTCCTTCGAAAAAAACGCCATTGCAGTGTTGCGTTTAACAAAAAAAACCAATTAGTGAGCTCAGTAATTCTTTAATATGATTGGTTTTTGCTTTTAGTTCTTCGCTGGATTTAAAAATAAGTGTAGGAAGCAATTATGTTAAAGAATCGCTGAACGCTCACTAATTGGTTTTCTCTATCGAACGCAGCCAGTGACTTTTCTATTAATGATCTTTTGGGATAAAACTAGATAACTATATAGAGCAATTCTTTTCTACACTTCGATATCTTCTTGTTAAATAAGAATGTCGTCAATTATTTTGATATTGTTGCATGATCGCAGTATACGAAAATATCTCGGTAGTCCTGAATATAAATACTTCCGACAGTCTCAAATTTTTCTCACGTACTCGTCAACAACAATGATAGTTGAACTCAGATACGGAAGAATATGTCGCTCTTTCACAAAATTGAGAATAATTAATTTTGTGTAAAGAAGAAATCGCGAATAGCAACGACACCAATAGCCGATAGCTTAATCACGGATTTGGCAAAGGGGGTGGTTCAATATGAGAGAAATTTGGAAAGTGAGAAAGACAGAGAATGCTGCAAAGATTACGTAGTATTTAATAATGGTAAAAATAACAAATATATTCCTATGTAAATCAACAGAATTCAATAGTCATAGACGATATTCAATATCGACGCGCGGTAAAAGACATGTGATATGTTGACGTTGTAATGTACACATTTCTCGTTCTCTCTCGTTCTCTCTCTCTCTCTCTCTCTCTCTCTATATATATATATATATATATATATATATATATATAATGTGTGTGTGTGTGTGTGTGTGTGTGTGTAATATATAATATAAACAAATATATGTATATATATTTGTTTCATCAATAGAAAGTATTTTTTATAGTCAAGATCAATGGAGCTGGATGGAAATTGAAAATAACGATATAATTTCATTCGAACTCAGCCAATTAATTTGTTCTACTTTATGCAATATGCTTTTCTCATTCTGAAACATTAAAAACTCTTCCGAAATAGGCATCCTTCAAATACCGGTCACTCCCAACCCGATGTAACTTCCCAACCAAATGAACGTCTTCACGAAGATACGTATGGACGAACGCCTCCGGGAAGAGTGCTTTTGCAAAGGCAACACTCGAACCCGCAACTGCCGAGTAGAATGCAAACTGACGAAGATTTTAAGCGATTGTCACAGCCGAGCGTAGCAACGACCGAATCTCGATGTGTTGACATTGCGCAAAAAGGACAGACGATACGGCAACAAAATTTAGCAACTACTATGAGACTGAGAGGACTGCAAGGACCCCCGAAACCACCTCGAATTATCACTACCTTAAGAAAAACCGCTCTCTCCGATTCGGAATGTAATAGCCACACAGAACCGCCAGCAAAGCCTCCCAGGTAAATTTCTCTCATTTCTTATATTATAATCAATTATCTGCATCAGTTTATCACAGTTTTAATCTATTAAATTTTTATCGCAATAAAAGGAAGAAGGAAGTAGATTGTTCATCAGAAAATTGAATTACATAATGCGTATTACTGATTATTAGAGAAAAAACGTTTAATCCCGATCCGATTTGCTATTTCGAATCGTTACAAACTATCTAAGCTAGCAGATAAAATTTTAATCAATAACCAATTTCATTTAGAGCAAGAAGAAAAGAAAAAGAAAAAAGAGTTTCTGATTGTTTCATTCTTTAATTAAACGTCCTTTTATTTATCTCTTCGGGAAAAGTCTCGTAAGTCTCAAAGTCATCTCTTTCTTAAAAAGATACTAATATATAACATTATGCACCGTACTTATATATTGCAAAAGCAAGTAAACTTACAGTTTTATATAACGATAATGTCGGATTATGGATAATCCACAAATTTTTACTTCTTTAAAATTTATTCTTTCTCTAGTAGAATTTCATTTGTTCGATTTTAGGACGAAAATAGACGTTTAGAGGCAATGAGGAGGCAAATAAGGACGCGAGAGAGACATGAAATAGTTTCGTGATCTTCTTGCGCGACCCGCATTATTAAGTTTTGCCTCCCAGTCGCATGTTCCTATTAATAAGCGCTTACGAGGGTTTACAGAGAGACGGTTCCAACAGAGAGACGCGTCAGAGACAATTTTCCTCTGATGCATCGTGCTTTTGAACAGTTCATTACAGTTTCCCAAGTAAAGAGCATATATCGAGTGATTTTGCATTGATCCGTATATAATAAGGAACATGTGATAACAGAGTAGAATAGCTATTTTCTTTCTCACTTTTACGCAGTCGTAGATCACGATAGACCGTCTTTCTTGGCGGAAATAAAAATCGGAACATAAGTTGAATGTAAAAAGTAGGACATCAGCCATTATCAATAAGATATCTGTTATCATTCTATTTTGTAACTCTAGCGAAAATAGAAGTTGAACGTATAAACTCGAATGTAAGGAGGAAGTAACAGAGGCGTAAATGAAATTTCTAAGAGGCGAAAATTGAAACAACATAACATAAAAGAAGCGTAAATGCCTCTTTTACGTTTCACAGTGTCAATTTTTTCGCCTTCTAGAACCTTTATTTACGCCTCTGTTACTTCCTCCTTACATTCGAGTTTATACGGTCAACTTCTATTTTCGCTAAGGTTACAAAATAGAATGAAACAGATATCTTATTGATAAAAAATGCCTGATGTCCTACTTTTTACTTGAGAAACTCAGGATACATTCAGAGCGCATAAAACCAGCTAGGTTGTTACAGCTGGTAATCGAATGCATGCTGATGGACTGCTCGACATCTATGCTGGTTGTGGAAAAATCGAAACACGGCGCGCGACGGTAACCTTTGACCTTTATGAGAGTTACAGAGCCCTAGATTTTATGACATTCAAACGGAAATCAAACAAAAGCACGTATACATAATTAAATAGAAATAATTAGTACAATTAATATTATTGTTGTAAAAATTATAATAAATCGAAGGCAATGTGGTTAAATTAAAATTGTTTTTGTTACAAAACACAATGTCCATTGTAAAATATTCACTGCACTGATTTTCAACTTTGACATTTAATCTTGAATGACACATATAACCCATAATCTTTAACCAATTAATCGTGATATTAATAATATTTCATAAAATATTAAGCGATGTTTTTTAATACAATCACATCGTATTTTTAAAAGTTTAACTAAATGTATATATATGTTTCTTATATTATTTTCACAAATCTTTGCTATTCTCTCCCATGAACATTACATTACTAATCGCAAAAATTAATTTTGGAAATTAATTTTGGCTCCAGGAAAACATGTGACCTTTTATCACGATAAGTTCTCGGTAGAAAGGATATAATATATGAAGAGAAGAGAAAGATAGGAAAAGTAGAAGACAAGGAGACATTTAGTAATGCCCTAAAAAAGCATCCGGAGTCTACTCCAGTTAAAGTTTAATTAAATTCAGCGAGAGTTCGTTAACATCGCTGTACATAACGTTCCATGTGATGTCTGTCTGTGAAATTTTGCTGTGGACGTTTCGGTTTGCTGCATAATTATGCGCATCGCGATCTCTTATGCCATAGGAAAAACTGCGCTTTACTCAATCTATATTAATCACATGACAGAAAAAAAGATAGGAAAAAATGAAATCGGCCTCTATAGCGCCAGCTCATCATATAGATAATTCTAATTTTTATACTGAAATATTTTACTGTGATAATTTGTTTTTTTTCTGTTACATCTTAAAAAAACTGTATAAAAATATTTTCAGAATCATGGTGAGGAACGGGCCAAGAGCTCGACGAGGAAAAGCAGTTCAAAGAGCACCATCGCGCTTGTACAGAACGGTGGGTGGACCCACCAGATGTTTCAATAAGGCGCAATGTGTTGGTCCTGAATTTGTAGTTCGTGCCAATCAACTCCCGAAAACATTATGCGTGGGACAAGTCAAGGTATGAAAATAAAAGTAAATAATTAAAAGCAAGACGTAAATAATTTTGAATTTTAACCTGCTTGATACACATCTTTCTTTCATTTTTAATTTTCCATTTATAATAGATTCTAAATTGTTAAAGTTATACCAAAAAAATATATCTTGTATACAAATTATATTTCTAATGAAAAACGAAATATATTTTTAATAGAAATATTTAAAATCTGCTTTTATCTCTATTCATTTTCTATGCATTAATTTAAAAAGAAACGATAGAGATATAAAGATATAATTTAAATAATTTATGAATCTGTAATAAATAAAAAATTAAATAGATGTCTTAATTATCAACGAACGCTTCACAAAATTCCGTGAAATATTAAAAAAAATTTCCGGTACCGGGAATCGAACCCGAGCCTCCTGGGTGAGAGCCAGGTATCCTAGCCACTAGACCATACCGGATGACGATGGTCGTACTCTAAATAATGATCATCATCCATAAAGAGATGATTATATTTTTAGAAAATGTAGTATTGTACATTATATTATCACAACATAATATTTAATATCTATTACTTTAGATGCTATTAATTTATTTTTTTTTTTATTACATTATATTATCATTTAATTTAATATTTATTAATATTTTAATTATTTAGAAAAAGAAGTCAATTTACATAATAAAAAACGTTAAATTTAAATAAAATTAATAAATAAAAAAAATAATATGATTGGAAACAAGACCGTCTATATAAATATTACAACTTTAAATACAAAGCGCCTTCCCGGTCCGAGTGTTAAGATGTTGAACTACTATCTAATATACATTCAATTAAATTGAATTAATATTTCAGAAATAAATAAGTTTATTACAGTTTTTTAAGATTCACACAATCAATCTGAAACAAATAATC